GAATATTTTTGCATGTTAAGTGTTAAGTTTTAAATAAAGAAAGTGTTTAAGCACTAAGAAAAATTATATGACGGCAAGCCTTGCATATCTTTGCTTGGAGAAAACGTTTATTAAACGTAAATTTTCATGTTATCATAAACTTACTATTTTACCAAAACTTAAAACCTTAGTCATAATTACGCAAGCAAAAGCTAAAACCCATTACTTTGTTGCCTAATTATTTGCTTACCTTCGTTTTCTATTTATAGTTGGAGTCAATAAACTGTTTGTCTTACCTGAAACAAAAAAGTAATATTAAAATCTTTTACAACTAGACGCGCCGGGCCCTATTATTCATTTCTGCCTGAACTCATGATTGAAGGAAAAACATCAAAATACTCCCAAATTAAAACTACGGCTGGTTTTATTCTTAATGCTTTGTATTTGTATATAATTAAGTGCAAAACGATTTAGATTTGGCATACGGGAATAAAACTTTACACGAAATCTCGAAAATGTATAGTGTTGAACATTTATTAATTGTTCGTAAGCACTTATATTATATACTAAAGAGCATAATGAATCTTCTAATGTAACGTGTTAATTAAACAACTCTGATGAATATATAGCCTGAATAATGAAAGTTTGCCTAAAATACCATATGCGCAGAAATGCAATGTTTAATGAAATGACAATCCCGCAGAAATCCTTGAATTCATTGACGTCACAATTCTACATAACTTATACTATATTTATATAAACTCTCTACCATCTATTGTGCTCTTTACTAGTTGAATGAATGCCATCTGGCGAGTATGGGCATATACTACGTTTTGTTAAACGTGAAAAATTATTTAAGTTAAAAGCAGGGTTATATTAGGAAGTTAACAAATTAATACAAATAGTTTTTTAAAATACTGTAAGTTTAGAAAAGAGACTCAAAATCAGGCATAACTTGAAATAGCGTCATCTAACAATAACCTAGAGAGCATGAAGGCTTTTGCTGAGGTGCTGTGCCGTAGACTTACTGCAATTTTAAACTATTATTTATTAATTCTGTAAGCGTCATATAGATGGCGTGACACGCTACATTTACGCGAACGCTACAAACCGTTACGGTGGCTTAAAGCTCATAGCTACGAGCGCATACTACATTGCACTAGATGGCAGTAACGTGCAGTATAGTCAAACGAGATAATTTAATTAAGAAGTTACATTAGAATGCGCTAGGTGGCAGTTATAACGTGGTAGTTTAAAAAAAGGTCAATATCTAGACTACAATGTCGGATAGACACCAAAAGAAGTAGTTTTAAAAAATCTCAATATGGCGTGACACGATACATTTACGCGAACGCTACAAACCGTTACGGTGACTTAAAGCTCAGCTACGAACGCGTACTACATCGCACTAGATGGCAGTAACGTGCAGTATAGTCAAACGAGAAAATTTAGTTAAGAAGTTACATTAAAATGCGCTATGTAGCAGGTATAATGTGGTAGTTTAAAAGAAGGTCAATATCTAGACTACAATTATGGATAGGCACCAAAAGAAGTACTTTTAAAAAATCTCAAAATGGCGTGACACGATACATTTACGCGAACGCTACAAACCGTTACGGTGACTTAAAGCTCAGCTACGAACGCGTGCTACATCGCACTAGATGGCAGTAACATGCAGTATAGTCAAACGAGAAAATTTAGTTAAGAAGTTACATTAAAATGCGCTATGTAGCAGGTATAATGTGGTAGTTTAAAAGAAGGTCAATATCTAGACTACAATTATGGATAGGCACCAAAAGAAGTACTTTTAAAAAATCTCAAAATGGCGTGACACGATACATTTACGCGAACGCTACAAACCGTTACGGTGACTTAAAGCTCATAGCTACGAGCGCGTACTACATTTCACTAGATGGCAGTAACTTGCAGTAACGTGCAGTATAATCAAACGAGAAAATTTAGTTAAGAAGTTACATTAAAATATGCTAGGTGGCATTTATAATATAGTAGTTTAAAAAAAGACAATCTACAGTTATGGAGAGGCAGCAAAAGAAGTAGTTTAAAAAAAACCTACTTTATATGGCAAATAAGCTATAAAAGAGCTATATTAGTTAACAATCAGTCTATACAACATTCATAATAAGAAATAAAGATTATTATTATTAAAAAAAAAATACATAAATTAAGACGTCGAAAGCTGACTGAGAGTTTTTATCAAAACGCTGCCTATCAATATGTATAATATATGGAGAGTGATAGAAATGCTTCACGATTACGACAACAACAAACTGTAGCTATATAGAGAACTCACCCTCCACCAGCTGCTAATATCATCTGCATCTTGAAGTATCACCAGAAACACCATTACATTTCCAATAACATTTTGTTATTTGATCCTCATAAAGTTCAATATTAAACACAGTATTGCACTATCAACATAAATGTAAGGATCCACTAAACAGAAGTTTATAAATAAAATGTACCGTTTCTATAGAAAATTATTCAATGTATAGAATATATTTTATATCGAGATAAAATGGAGGGTCTAAACATCTAATTACTTTTATGTATGTTCCGAAAATCAGACGCCTGTATTTTCAAAATCTTTTTGTTTCATTAACTCCTTGAGATGCATGATTGAAGGGGTTTGCATTGAAAGTATATGATGAACTGATTATGAACAACATAGATTTGTTGTGAAAAAGAAGGCTTTCGGATATTGAGTGTTAATATACACACAAAATAATACGTAATACCTAGTGAGCGCCTACCCTTATCACTATTTACCCTATGGCTGTGACTGTGTAAACAGACCACACACATATTAATTTTGTATTTACAAGAGCTTTTAATTAATTTCAGTGCACGTCAAATTCAATAACCTACCCTTTGAGCCCAAAATAGCCTGCGGTCTAGGTGAATTCTATTAAATCAAAAGTGTACTGTACAAAATCGAAGTAAATGCTTTTGAACGAAATTATGTAGTAAAAGTTAAAATAAATGTATATAATGCATATTTTATAAGAAAATTAGTGAGCGATTTTCGACAACTTTCAACGACACTGGACTTGCTTCTAAGCCTTACCGGTTACCATACGATGTTTTCCTTCACCGTACGAGCGAGTAATTAATGCGCACAAGAAAAGAAAAATCCATTGGATTACAGCCAGAGTTCGGCATCACCTCAGAGATGAGAGTTACACTCACAATCCACTAGGCCAGCACTGCTCTCGTTAAATATAAGCAATCGTATTTAGAGCCGGGAATTACCGAGTAACATTACTCTCCCGTATGTAAAAAAGGTATTTAGACTTTGGATACGTGAGACAGATCGACTCTTTAATCTTAACCTTTCGATTTACACATCGAGCTATCAATATGACATATGGCTAATTATATAATATAAACTTGCGCATTAAATCAATAGAATTTAAGCAAAAGTAACAAATATATTATATAGCCAAAACGTAAATAAATTTCTGATAACTATATTACATTCTCTCTTATATAAGCGATCTCTTCTATAACTATGCTCATATGTACGATTTAATATATGTATTATAATTATTGTTTGGCAAATAATTGTCATGGAAATTGTTCAACGGAAATCAACATAACTTAGTGCAACTAATATTCTTAGATTTTGAAATTACGTATAATTCATATCAGATCAGACTATAACAATATCAGGAAAATCAAATATTGTATGTTATCAAATAGTATTTATAGCGTTCAAAACGAATCAATTTATAATTTAATAACTCTGTGAAGCGAAACAGTTGTCCATTCCATTTTCATTCATATCATGTCTGTTCTTGAACGCGACGGATAAATTTGACATTATTAATTAAATATTTCATTGTAGCTTCATAAACATTCCATATGAGGCTATAATTACACGTGTGAGGCCATTTATTTTCGATGATTGATAATAAAGCTCGTTATTGTTAAATAGTGAGTTGAGTGATATAAAAATACACTTGAAGAAAACACTTTTTTACCGGATTGAAGTTATGTATTATTATAAATTTACAATTATTTACATAATTTTAAACTTTTCCGACGTTTCGCGTGCTTTACAGCGCGTCGTACAACGCACGCTGTCAATCCGGTAAAAAAAGTGTTTTCTTTAAATGTGTAAAAGTTATGTCAATAAAAGACAATACTATAAACATACACATGAACCGTTTTTATAGCATAAATAGTATGTAATAGTATAGTTTTTTTTTGTTAATTAATTATGCACTTGTTTTACTTTACCCGCTGTAGGTGTTTCTTTTTTTATTGTTCCATTTACGGGTTGCCTGGAAGAAATCGCTTGTTAGCGATAAGGCCGCCCGTTGCCTAATAACTTATGAAACCTACTTACTTTTTGTTTTTTTTTCTATATGTGTAATTATGTGTATTATGGCAATGAAGTGTAAATGCTTAGTACTAAACACGAATATAATCGGTCAAAACTTAAATTAAATTCCAGACTAAGTAATCAACTCAGTACTCAAATAATTATTATACATTAAATTTTATTTCGTGCTTCGTCGATAAATGAAAAGTAGAATAGTGCACTTAGATTTTGACAGTATATAAATGGGATATGATGTGTGAATATGGGCCAATATAAATACAGATCACAAATATAAGTTAATACTTTATAAATATATAAAAAGTCTGACCTAAGGAAAACGAATGCATAGTACTATAGGAAGACGGAAAATGCATAAAAAAGAACAGTTCTCCCCGTGCATTTTCAAGGGAAAATAGTTTGTACGATATTACACATAAAACTCATATTACATTAACATATAAGTTTCATAAAAGGATATATAAGGAATGAGCCGTCTTTAAGTCGAGACTTTTAGGCGCCGTAGCAAACTGAATCATTATAAATCATATGGATAACCCATTGGTTATGGTACCGAATACAAAATTAAAGGATCGTAAGGGACTAATTTGGCTTATTTGGACAAATATAAAATTATTTAATGTGGTCGTACGCTCAAACCCAGTTGTGAACCAATGGATTATTCTAATCTGCATCTTCTACAGCATAAATCATGGAGAGTGCTCTGTAGAACTGTACGGACTAATACCTGCAGCTGAATTCTACCATAGGACGTCGAGGGAGAACGCGAAATTCTTTGCACCTTGACGATGCCACGGGTGTCCATGCCTGCTGTTTCGCTCTTTGCTCGCCCGTTGATATACGCCCTTAACTTGCGAACTGGTAGTAAATGTAAATTAAGAATCAATTTAACATATTTTCTGTTGACGTTCATAAATGTACTTGGTTACCTATATGAATAAAGTTATTTTGAGTTTAAGTTTGTTCCATTAAAAAAAATCCAGTTCTTTTCGTCCGTTCTTAACCTTTCATTAGGCAGTAAACGTAAATTTAGAATCTTTTATCCCTACCAATCTTTATTATATTTAAATAAATAAAACGCTGAGAATGCAGGAAATTGAATATTCTGTAGTGGAACGAACGGAACGTGGATATCAAAATGGAACGGGTGGAATTTTTCATTCAATCTTGTCGTCCTATGATAAAATTTACCCGCAGGTATTAATGCAATCAGTTCTTTGGAACACTTCCCATGTTATATACTACAGAGAATCCCGAGAGAGAGCCAAAATCAAGTTAATTAGGAAGAATAAAGTCGTCGACGATTCGAGTCGCTCTACGTTGGATGCCATTAAAAGAATATTGGGGTACCACTGCCCAGGGGTAGGAACAGTTCTCCACGTGGGGCCTAATTTGCGCTTTATAGAGTTGAAATGCATAGCCCAAGTTTCTTAGAGGTTAATTTAGCCTTCCCTTTCTGGTGACTGCGAAACTGAACGTTGCTTGATATTTCGACACCGAGTATTCTGATACTATCTGAGGTTTTAAGGGTGGATGACGATTCTTCTTAGCGGTGAACGCGAAAATTTCTGCCTATTATTAGATGTCAGACACAAGTTTGTCTGAACATGCGCGGCCACTGTAACAGGCGTTCCCAGTGCTATTATCCGCATTAACGCTGCTGAACTGCAACATGTCAATAATATACAGGAACAACAGTGTTGGAAAAATTATAGAGCCTTATCGAACTCTTTATCCACACGATAAGAAGTCGTGAAAGTGAGGGCTTACAGAAATTCCCTTGGACAGGCCAATGGAAAGTTATAAAAGGATCTTTCCGCATAACGGGTGGTAGCTGAGCAAAGCCAGTTGGCGTGATGGGATTTGAAATCGCCAAGTAAAACGTTCGTAGCGCTTTCTCGAGTAAGGATTCTGCATTAAGCTACCCGATTAATACCGGCGAGCGTACAGTCGTGGACAGTCATCACAGCCTACGCGTGGCCAGAGAGTAGAAAGTCCCTGCCTTCAAATATCACCAGGGTAGGAGAGGAAAGAGCTTTCGTCTGGAGTAAATAGCTCGGTAAGGAATAGCAAGGCCAGCTTCGCTGTCCTTAGGTGGTGGGGAACAGCGTTGATGTTCGATAGCAAGCTTTTCATACTGCAGAAGACCACAAATAGTAAGGAGGTGGAAGGTGATACCTGCTCCATTTGCCCCGATGTCGATGAGATGTTATGTATTTAGAACCAATAGTGAGAAATTGTCCCCCGCCATCCCTTTTAGAAGACGAAGGACAACGCCGGGATTCTGTGACACAGTGGTAATTCCCCGGACGTGCCGGCCCATTCGGCTGAAGCCCAAAGGCATAGCAGGGTATAAAAGGCATGGCACTGCCACTACTCCAAAAGCCTAGGTTTTGTTTTTCAAAAGTTTCTCATAAGTTTATTACAATGTCGCTACTTAGGTAAGTGTTGTTTCAATTCAGCAAGACTATGGAAATATAATGTTTGCAATTCCCGAATTTGTCCCTTTTCGAGTAGAGACTCCTGGCCAAGGTGACTTCAGAGCTGGTGCTTGTTCCGCATAGGGTATTGAGCATCGCAACAGCGAGAAAATTCAGCCAGTATTAAGGTTATACAGGGACTGAGGCTATTTCAGTGATTGGTTCTTTTAATGTACACGTATAGTTAAAGATTGTATTTTATGCTACCTTTTCAGTTATAAATTTTTGAAGAAAAAAATCCTACGGCCTAATAACAAAATAGTGTTCAATTTAATATTAATATGTAAATATAAAATTATGCAACATTTACATCGAAGCGTATAATTTTAGAGAATATCTTTTGGTAAACAACCCACTTATTTTTCAACCAAATTGACTTTTACGGTAAAAACATGTTTCATCATGCACGTCAGAAACATATTATTTTCTAGTAGAAATTTGTAGTAACGCAAACTTTGTTATCTATTGTATCCATTTTTTTTAAAAAATCAGTATTTTGTGGTGTAACTAGTAATTAAAGCAGTAATATCAAAATATAATTTATCTATCCAGCTCCACATTTCCAACACACGTAACAGTAAGAAAGACAATACAATATTTATTCTAGTATCTATTTTGCGTTAATTTTTTTATTAATTGTGTTTTAATGCATATAATGTAAATATACAAAGATTTGTCATCAGACTGTTAATCTATCTATAAAATGTTTGATATTAAAGAGTAAACACAATGTGCAATATCTCGTTCTATATTAAATTCACGATGACGATAAAGCCCTTGCACTTTAGGTTTATTAATTTTTTACTTTGTAACGTTCACGCTAGTGGTTTAAAGTAGGACGGTAAATATTACTCATAGTTTCTATTTCATAGGTATTAAACACACACACTACTTAACCTACCAAAATGGCACAATTTATTTATAAAAAAATTCGAGTTAACGAGTTTTCGACTTAACAAGAACTTCGAGATACATATGATTTAACTGCTGCTTACCGAATACAAAATTAAAGGATCGTAAGGGACTAATTTGGCTTATTTGGACACATATAAAATTATTTAATACGCTCAAACCCGGCTGTGAACCAATGGATTATTCTAATCTGCATCTTCTACCGCATAAATCATGGGGAGTGAAGAACTGTACGGTCTAATACCTGCGGCTGAATTCTACCATAGAACGACGAGGGAGAACGCGAAATTCTTTGCACCTTGACGATGCCACGGGCGTGGCATGGATGCCTCGGGGCAAAGAATTTTGATGTCGAGGAGATGTTATGTTTTTAGAACCAATAGTGAGAAACAAGAACTTCGAGATACAAACGATTTAACTGCTGCAATTTCGACTTACAGAGGCGCGTTTTTAAGTCCATTTTTCGATTTGTAGAGTCGAATTTCAATAACGATTCAACTTAAGTTTTGTTTTATATATTTTTTTAAGAATGTATTCATTCATTGCACAAGATAAAAACAATAGAAGCCCCGAACCCGAACATTCATTTTCGATTTTATTGCTATTAAGACGTCATTATTTTTCATTAACAATGATTTACAGAGTCTCCTTTTTGAAATTCCAGTTATAGAGTATAAATATGTATTATCAATACTTCGTACGGAAATAACATTTTGTTCTAAATAATTCGAGATACCGCTTATTCAGGGGTTCAGCGGAAGGAAATGGCAATTTTTTTCGACTTACTGATGATTTCAACTTAACGAGGTTTGAGTTATAGAGATTTCACTGTATTAAACACATACTCACACACTACTTAACTTACCAAAATGGCACGATTATAAAATATTTAGTATATAAGGTCTATCTAGTCGTCTACAAAGACGGGTTTGATAATTGATTCATCTCTGAATGATCACTTTTAGATGGTGGCTTTAATTGTATTTCAATCTTAGGGTGAGATCTATAGTGCGCACTTGGACTTTGCTCAGACTTACCTTACGAAAAACTTTGCTTAGTGTACACTAAGGTTAAACTATGATTTCGTATTTATAGACATTTTAACGGTGAGATTAAGCTAAGCCCAAGCTAAGACAGAAAATGTCAAAATACAAATTGATGTTTCATTTCATGCAATACTTTGTTTATTATCCTTTAAAAAAGTTAACAATAACAAATATTTAAAAATCTAAAACGGTACACATATATCTTCAATTTATTGTTATTTATGTATTCATTTATTTTATTATTGCAATAACTAGAAATTCACGAGTAACCTTTAGAAAATGTATTAATTATTTAAAGATGACAATAATTTTATTACGTAGAACGGATCGCAATGTTTTGGTTAGGTTATAGTTTGAATTTCGTTGTCACTATAATATGCCAATTGCCAGGGCTGCCAGGTGACATACAAAATCACACCAGTTATTTTTAAGATTTCTCAAAAATGGGGTTTGAACAATTACATAAATAATATAAATAAACAACAATAAATACCATAATAATGTGTAATTATTTTATTTCATGCATTTCATAGGTATTTATCAAGATCATTTATAATTTCTTTGAATTCAAATTCTATTTTTCCCAAAGTCTATGGAACTCCGATACAAAATGGCAACACCGTTCATTAAAAACCGACAAAAATAAAAAGTCCAGTAAAAGATATGATGGTAAAGCAAATTTTGGGCCATTATTTTTGTTAGGCTTATAGTCAAAGTTTTTGGTAAGTCGTCGATTTCGTGGACTTGAGATTAAGCTAAGCCAACACTAGGGAGAGATTCGTAGTTTGCTCTATAAATACCGACTGTGTCTTAGCTCGATAGTTAAGTCAGAGCAAAGTCTAAGTGCGCACTATAGATCTCACCCTTAGAACGTGACAGAATACCAACAAGCTTGTAAACATAAGCCGCTTCGTAGCGTCTAAATTTGATAATTCGTCTTTCGTAAGGTATTCTTTATAATTTTAAACCTACAAAATAGTAATAATGAAATTATAATAAATACTATCTAAATTAACTTTTCTTAGAAGTGATAGATTTTTATACTTATCTCTTAACATTTTGAAATCGACTTTGGATGGAGTAGATAAAGCGTTATTATGCAAAGATCTGATAAAATACAACTACGTTGCGTGAACTGAGGCTATTCGATAGCTTGCACTTTGAAATATTTAGTATGAGCTTTTTAATTTATTGCAAGTCCTGAATCTAAATAATGAAATTTTAAAGTAACACCAAGGCAAATATACAATAACGGTATATATGACAAAGATTCTACGAGTATGCCCCAGATTTCTTCTGAATTCTTCATAATTGACCGAATCAAGAATAAAACGTAGTATAGACTTGGGAGTCGTGCAACAGACAAATTGAGTTGGTATGTTTTAGACACATACATGAACAACGAAGAGGGCAGTAGATAAAACGAAATCAAAGAGACACGTGGTGCCGAAATACACGGGTGAGGGAGGTTGGGAGGCGGCTGGGTAGGGGCGAAAATGGACATGTGTCAGATGACGAAACTAATTATTTTACCATGTCTGAATAAAAAGCTGAAAATAATTAAGTTAAAATAAGTTTATAATAAATACTATCAGCGCTGTTTTATATAATTGATTAGAAATTGTTATATGATAGATTTAGTTTCGTAATTATGAAGAAAACGAAACTAAACTGATCGTATGGTATTGGACCCTTTTTACCAAATAATATTCAAATCACCATATAAATATCAACTTGCAACTGGCTATTCTCTATTATTTCTATTAATTTGTCCTTGCCTTTTTGTCTCGTAATTGAATTATATCGTATAAGACGGGGGAATTTAATATATATTAGAGAGAAGTAAACTTTCACTGGCTGATCTTAGGGATATTATTCTCAACGAAGAGCTTGAAGCTTCCAAGCTGGGCGGCCAATAATGGATTTCTCTTCCCATGTGTACAAATAAGAATTGCTCGATTAAGAAAGTTCATCAGCATATCCGAGACTCAAAAATCGTCTTGTAGTCGCGTTTCTTAGGCACAGATGACAGAAAGCTCAACTACTTGTATAAAGAGAAATGGCTTGAGATCGAAGTAACGTATTTTCACGTATTCTATTTCAAAAAAATTTAATATTCAATTAGTTTTTGTATCTGCCAAATTATCTATTCGTACATGTTAAATTACCTGGCTGATTTTATGAAAAAAAAAACATGTATTTATGTGTACTTATGTATACGCGTTAGAAGTTATACTTCTTTGGCGTAACAAGATAAAAATCTTTTTAATTTTTTTTATCTTTCGCCTTATTCTACGTTTGTAGAAAAAACTATACTAACAATAGAAAAAAGGTATTTAATACATTGAAAGTTTTATTATAACGCATTATCTAGTTAAATAATGGCCATTTTTATTTTTAAATGTTGACTTGACTCAAAAAACAGACACCCTGAAGTTAACATACTGTCGATTTTTTTTAAGACCAACCAAGAGAAAATACCAAGGTGAAGAAGAGGGTGCCCTTAAAAAAGGTGGATAGAAGGTATAGAAGCGAATAGAGAAAGAAAGCCATGGTTAGAGATATTTTGAAAAGCTGGATGAGGCCTTTACCCGTGAACGGGTTCCAATCAATGGTAGGTACATAAGGAAGTTAGCGTATCGAGTAACAAGAAAAAATATTATATAATAAATCTAACCGCTATTCAACATTTGCTAAGATAAACGAGCTTTATTATTATAATTTTGTTATTATATTATTATTAAAGTGT